TCCCATGCCAAAGATGACTTCGGTCTCCCCTCTGGGGTGCTGTACTCTTTGCCCGCCCCCCAACACCCCCAAATCTCAGGCCATTTTGTCCGGGGGGGGGTCTCTGAAGATGCCTAGAGAGGCCTCGGAAATCGGTGCTAGCCAGCCCTCCTGGCCCCCCAAATATCCAGGGTGGGAGTCTGAAAACTTGAAGCATCGCCTGTCCCAGCTGATCCTCACTGGGGGGGGGACAAAAGCAGCTCTCCCTCCCCCCTTGTCCTTGCTGCCTTAAATGTCTCCTTTGCGTTCTCTTTTATTAATAATGGTGACGATAATAATAATAATCCAGTAGTGAAGATTTGTGCCAGGGTGCTGAGGGGGGGCACGTGGGATTTGAAACCCCCCCCCATTTGTCAGAGCGTTGGAGCTGCAAGGTGATGCCCTCCGGTCCAACACGGCCGTGGTCTTCCTCGTGGGGAGGGTCACTTCGGCCACACTCGGGTTTTGCCCCTTTTCGGTTTGTGTCACGAGCGACGGCGGCAATAAAGTTATTTTGGGTTAAATCTGGCGGGCTCCGTCTGGTTTATCGCAGGCCGGCTTCAAGCATCCCCCCCCCTTCCCCTTTAAGCACGCAAGTTGTGCATTGGTGTTGCGCTCCCAGCGATGCCAACTACAGGCGGTCCTTGACTTGGAGCTCGTCGCTAAGCGAGGCAATTTATCTCGTTTCCATCAGCACCCTGTTGAGCAACGGACGTGAAGTCGAGGCAAGCCACATTTTTGTGATCTTTCTCGCCAGAGTTGTTAAGCCAATCACACGGTCGTTAAGCAAACCTGGCCCTCCCCCTCTTGGACTTGGTTGAAAGTTGCAGAGGACCATCGCATGACACACTCACCTACACATACACACGGGATGCCAGTCGCATGGACCGCTGGTCGCAAATGTGAGGATTGATCGTTAAGTGACTTTTTTTTTCCAGGTTGTTTGGACTTTGAATTTTTGCTAAACGAATGGTTGTTAAGTTAAAGACTGGCTGTCGCCTCACGGCTCGTGTGTTGCGGCCATCTTCCCTGGGATGATTTAATTATTCCCGGGAAATGTCCGTGGAAATCAGCCGCCATCCGATTCCTGGTTGTCCCAAAGGTGCTTTTTCACGAGGCAACGGGGGATCTTCAGCCAACACAACATAGGCACAACACTTCAAACCCACAAATACACCAAGGCAGAAGCTGGTCCACCCCAGGGATGAATCACCCAGACACAAACTGAGCAACGTGGTGTGTGCACTACAATGCAGGGAGCCGTGGGCAGATCTCTGCATTGGGGAAACAAAACGACAACTTCACCAGTGCTTGGCACAACAGAGAGAACCAACCCATCATGACAGAGTCAGCAACTCGTCTGCATTTAAAATAATAATAATAGTAGTAAAGTTGGAAGGGACCTTGGAGGTCATCTAGTCCAACCCCCTGCTCGGGCAGGAAACCCTACACCCTTTCGGACAAGTGGCTGTCCAGTCTCTTCTTAAAAACTTCCAGTGTTGGAGCATTTACTGCTTCTGGAGGCAAGCTGTTCCACTGATTAATTGTTCTCACTGTCAGGAAGTTTCTCCTTAGTTCTAGGTTGCTTCTCTCCTTGATTATTTTCCACCCGTTGCTTCTTGTCCTGCCTTCAGGTGCTTTGGAAAATAGCTTAATTCCCTCTTCTTTATGGCAGCCCCTGAGATATTGGAATACTGCTATCATGTCCCCCCTTGTCCTTCTCTTCGTTAAACTAGACATACCCAATTCTCGCAACCGTTCCTTATATGTTTTAGCCTCCAGTCCCCTAATCATCTTGGTTGCTCTTCTCTGTACTCTTTCTAGAGTCTCAACATCTTTTTTACATCGTGGTGACCAAAACTGGATGCAGTATTCCAAGTGTGGCCTTATCAAGGCCTTGTAAAGTGGTATTAATACTTCACGTGATCTTGATTCTATCCCTCTGTTAATGCAGCCTAGCACTGTGTTGGCCTTTTTGGCAGCTGCAGCACACTGCTGGCTCATATTTAGGTGATTGTCTACTAGGACTCCAAGGTCCCTCTCACATTTACTACTATTGAGCATGGTGCCACCTATGCTGTACTTGTGCATTTGGTTTTTCTTGCCTAAATGTAGAACCTTGCTTTTTTCACCATTGAATTTCATTTTGTTAGTTAGTGCCCAGTGTTCAAGTCTGTCCAGATCCTTCTGTATCTTAAGCCTGTCTTCTGGAGTGTTGGCAATTCCTGCCAGCTTGGTGTCATCTGCAAATTTGATGAGTTCCCCATCTATCTCCTCATCCAGATCGTTGATGAAGACAAAGTCCACTCTTCTGAGGACAAGAAAGTCCACATTTTGGACAGAGAGGATCGTTGGCTTGAGAGAGGGGTACAAGAGGACATCTAGGTCCAAACTAAACAGCTCTCTCTCTCTCTCTCAACAAATGGGGGGGGGGGATACGACATTGTCTTTCTGCAGTCTACAACACAATCCTTTCGACAGTTCCAAGAATCCTCCACACCCCTTTGCACCACTCAGGTGACCCTGAGGACACAGAGATAAACCTCCAAGGGGTCTCATGACTCTCAGAGAGAGTACTAATGACCAGCTCTCTGCAAGGAGTATAAATCCTTCCCTTCCGTACCATCCAGTCAGAGCTGAAGAAGCTTCTGGGATGAGGAGCGAAACGTCTTCAAAGGAAAAACAAAGAAAGTCCTGGGAAAAAAGCACCTCTGGGACATTCCCGTAAAAGCGTAGAGCCCAATTCATCTGGTGGCCTCGGCTTTTGACTGGCGGCCCGTCTGGATGGAGATCAAAGTGGGTGGTGGCCCAAAACAGGCAGTCCTGAACTTAACGACCGTTTGCTTAGTGACGGTGCAAAGCCCCAAAGGACCCACCTGGCTGCGTTTCAGGTGCTGGGCCACAACCAGTCTTGTGTCCTCGTTTTACGATAGTTTCTCCGAAAAACGGCCTTGGTTTCCAGTTTTGGGGCAAAACCCCACCGCTACCAAAGCATTGGTTTGCTTAGCGACCGTGGCACTCGCTTAATGACTGCGGTGATTCTCTTAGTGACCCCTGCAAAGTCAAGATTGTAAAAATCAGGTGGGGCCCCACGGCCGACTCGTTTTTACCGAAAGACACGCTCAAGACGCCATGTTGAACCGGCAAGGGCTTCTAAATGTCAGAATGGGTGTCGTAACCGGGTCATTCCCCCCCCCCGGGTCCCATCCCCAAGGATCAAAGGAGAGGGACCCCCCCAACTGACCAAGAAGGACTAACCAGCATCCGGGATGATGAATTTCTGGACAGCCAGAAGCAGAGACCGATCTTAGCAACAAAAGACAGCTTTATTTGGGGACCCCCGGAAGGAGGGAGGGAGCCCCTTACAGACAGGATGACACAAACGAGACCCCCCACCCCACCCAAAACCCGGTGGCTCCGCCCAGCCTCTCCCACAAAGGATGGGCTACCGTTCCAGCTCATTTGCAAAGGGAGGGTGTCTGTGGAACTCTCTGCCACACGTTCGGGGGAGAATGCCATGTTTCTTCTCTTCCCCCCCCCCCCACTAGACAAACTGACCACTGTGGCCTCCTCCTCTTCCTCCCCCCCCCCCCCGATCTCCAAGATGGCGTCCAGCCTTCGCAGACCCTGAGCTGTAGGAGGACCGCGGGAACCCAACTGTATCATCAAGGCTCCAGTCCTCATGGCTGCAAAACAAGACCTTCGGAAGGTATTGTACATAGCGCAGCCTCCCCTCTTGCCGGACTTCACTGCACCCCGGCAGCTTTGTTGCGGCGCCCTCTGGATGAGCTGGACTACAACTCCCATCCTCCACAGGCACGTGGTTTGGGTTTCAAGGCCTGGCTGTGTTTTGCAGAGCTTCAGATGTTAGGGGGGACAGGAAACTGGGCAGGTGGGTGGGTGGACACTGATTCATCTTTGGAAAAAGGCCACTGGTTGGGTTGACACCCCCCTCCTGAGCCCCATCATTGGGGGGGGGAGAGAAAGGGGCTTTCAGGACGCTCCAGTCCTCCCCCCCCCAAAAAAAACCCCGGTGAGCAGACCCTGCATGCTCAGAGGCACTGTACCCCTTTTCTGCACAAAGGGCCTGATCCACCAAAGCCGCCCAACAGCAAAGTCAGTGCACTGGTCCCACAACCATTTGGGGTGGGGGGGAGGTCTGCCTGGGTCACCTGCAGCCCCTCCCTAATACTGCTTCCCCCACATGGGTTGGACTCTAAGGCCCAGAATGCTCAGCCTGTGGGGCTGGAATGACTCAAGATGGGGAGAATGTTTCTCCTCCCCCCCCCCCGGACTCAGTTGCCCACCCACATCTTCACCCTAGCCAAGGGGCGGAGGGGTCTCTTGCTGGTCAGCTCTCCTAAATTCATTCTTTTCTTCCCCCGCTTTACTCTTGTGCACCTCATCCCCCCAGTACCAAAAATGGATTTCCCCCCTGTTAAAATAGTATTTCTGAACCTTAGCAACATTTTTTGATGTCTGGACTTAAAAACAGGGCCTGATCTGTCTGTATTAGAATCAGAATAATCTATTCCAGAACAGAGCTGGATGGGACCTTAGAGATCTTCTAGTCCAGCCCCCCGCTCAAGCAGGAGAACCTATACCACCTCAGACAAGTGACTGTCCAGCCTCTTCTTAAAAACTTCCGGGGATGGAGCACCCACGATTTCTGGTGGCCAGCTGTTCCACTGGCTAATTGTCCTCATTGTCAGGAAGTTTCTCCTTAATTCCAGATTGCTTCTCTCCTTGATCAGTTTCCAACCGTTGTTTCTTGTTCTGCCCTCTGGCGCTTTGCAAAATAAATTGACCCCCCCCCCTCTCTCTTCTTTGTGGCAGCCCCTCAAATACTGGAACGCTGCTATCATGCCCCCCCCCCTATTTCTTCTTTTCTCTAGACTGGCCAAACCCAAGTCCCGCAGCCGTTCTTCGTATGTTTTTGTCTCCAGTCTCCTTTAATCATCTTAGTTGCTCTTCTCTGAATTTTTTTTCCAAACTCTCAACATCTTTTTTGTGATATGGTGACCAAAACTGGCTGCAGTATTCCAGATGTGGCCTTACTAGGGTTTTACAAAGCAGTACTAATACTTTGAGTGATCGTGATTACATGCCTCTGTTTCTACAAACCAGGATTGTGTTAGCTTTTTTTGGCTGCTGCTGCACACGGCTGGCTCAGGGTCAAGGGATCGTCCACTAGGACTCCAAGGTCCCTCTCACAGTTGCTGTTTTTAAGCTCAATCTGTGCTTGAACCTTTGGTTTTTCCTGCCTAAATGTAAAACCTTGCTTTTTTTTTTCCCATGCTGGCTGAGGAATTCTGGGAGTTGAAGTCCACCCACTTTAAAACGGCCAAGGTTTAGAAAGACTGGTTTAACGCCACTAAAGCTGCTTTTTAATCCCCGCCTTTGGCTCCCGAAAGCATTAATCTCTTTATTAATCCTCATCATTATTATTACTAATCAATGTAATTAATGAATCGTTACGGGGCACGGGGGAAAAAGAGAGCGCCTGCCAGCACTGGATTATCCAGCTCCGTTTGTTATAGGAGTGACACACAGAGACTCCCAAAAGATCACACTTAGTCATCACACAGATATACAAATGCACACACGCACGCACACCAAACACTGACCCACACAGACCCTTCGACGCAAAGGAGGAGGTTTTGGCTTGCAAAAAAAGAAGGGAACTTTTTTTTTTTTAGGTTTGGACGGTAAACAAATACACACCATCGTCCTGGG